GAACGGGGGAACCTTCCCCGGTGCCGTCCGTCCGTCCGTCCGCCTGCGGCGTGGTGGCGGCCGAGGGAGGGCACGAGTGAGGGGAGAAGCGGGGCAACAGCCACAGCGACACGGGGGACACCGCGGCGGGCTGAGTGCAGGCGGGGCGCCGTAGGAAGCCGAACTGCCTGTCGCCTTACAGCTTCCAGCGCCTTAAGCGCGTCCCCCTTTAGCAGGAACCCTGCTCGGTTACAGCGGGCTGTGACTGTTTTGACCCGTTTGCAGCGTGAATCCGGATCTGCATTATCTCCTGGCGCCGTCAGGGAGGCACGGTTCACAGGGGAGCTTGTCCCGAGTACGTCAAGAAAGATCTAACTCAGCAATTTGCGATGCGTGGCATTATATAGGGGACCACGATGGCTCCACTTTTGTCCTGAGCGCTCCGAAACCTGGGTTTGTCCCGGACCTTACAGGAGGACACGCTTCCTCGGGGCTATGGGCCCAGTTAGCTGACTGTGAAAGTACCAAATAATAATCACTAGAAAGGAGCTTGGTGTGGTGATAGCAGCACTGCTCCCCTAGAAATACACCGTTGCTTTTGTTTAGGTCCAGGTTCTGAGATCTGGGCTGGTGGTAATTATAAGGCCTTTGATTTTTGGTGTAACACTTGCTGGTATTTTACTTGTAAAGGCTTAGAGCCTGACGGATGAAACCGTACCCACGTGATAGGGAAAAAGAAAACTTACCCCATAGGTAGCAGGTATTTGACAATCAAAAGTTAAGTTTTAAGAGGAAGTTAGTTGATTGAAAGTAGACCTTCAACATCATTTATACTAGAAATAATGAGAAATTTAAACACTAAGTGCCCTGCAGTTTTAGCGGGAGTTTTGACAACGGGTCATCAAATATCAGGACAGCCCAAACTAGTATTCAAGTACGTGGAACGAGGTTAAGATGCATAAGGTGTCTCTGGCTACCCACCGTGGTAGCTCAGAGAAGAAAACAAGGAAATTCAAGCAAGAGAAATGGAAGGAACGGGCAGGAGGAGGCAGCACCGGCCCTTCTCTACCAGCCCTGTGAGTTTGTGAGGCTGCGGGCGCTGCCCTGGGGCAGACAGCGTGGGGAAGAGCCAGGAGATGCGAGGCCGGCTTTGAGAGGAAAACCCATTCATTCAGGAGATGAGGGTGACTTCTGTGGTGGGGAACAGGGGCCTCGGGCTGGGTAGCAGCAGGCCACGGGCTGGATCGGCTCCACCAAAAAAGCTGTAAAAATTCCAGGTACCCCCCATCTTATGCAGTGTCTGTAGTTTACAAAACCACACGTTTGGAAGATACCAAAGCTGTGGTTTTGTTACATAGAATAACGTACACTAGAATTTCCTAAACAAGCTTACAGCCAGAAAATTACAACTTTCAGAGAGAGCCTGGCTTTTTAACATCTCCGAGTGACGACATATTTGAGGAATACTGTTCTGGTCATGGGATGAGACTCACCCTTTTGTTGTCATAGAGAAGTACTGATTATGCCTCCTTGGAGTAATAAAAACTGCTCTGTCTTGAAAAACAGGGATTTATCCTTTGTAAGGCCACTCAGGGCTTCCCGAGGGTTTGGCCAGCTGAAAGCAGCTCTAAAATCCCGTCTGCCGAAGCAAAGCTTTCTATTTGCTTCTTGCAGGCCAGCCCATGTGCTTAGGATGTCGTTTCCTGGCAGAGGGGAGACAGCAGTAGTTTCCCTCCAGTTGTCTCAGTTTTGCCAGAAGAAATCCTTGAAGACAACACAGGCCCCAGAATAAATCCAGTCTGTATACAATTAGAGAAATGCAGTGCCAAATGATTGAAGATGAGTCCAAGTTAAATCTATCCTAGTTGAAATCTGTGTTTTATCTTTAGCTTTGTACTTCTCATCTTGAATGTTTGATTTTTCCTCTTTGAGACAGTACTAGTGTGAGGGGGGGTTGGGTTCTGCATAAATGTATGCAAATAATATTCATGGATACAGATTTTGAATAGTGTCTTTTGTTTAGAAACAAAATGGGATTCTCATTATTGTTACCAAATATCTCTGTCACGTTATTTGGCAGCTTGGCAAGTCACGAGAAATGTGCTTTATTTCTCCATCTTTAAAGTCATGCAAATACTGGCAATCTCTGCAGGTACATCAGGAGTTCTCTGTCCAGCTGGAGGAAATGCCAAGTCGTTTTTTTCAACATTTAAAAAGCAAACCACCATATACTGAAAAATATATTACCAAAGAAGCAATTTACAACCATATCTTGACTGGGGTAGACAGTTATACTTCTGTTTTTCGGACTATGGCAGAAAGGGAACTGGAGTTGGCTTCAGCAAATTCCTTTAGCCCAGTGACCGTACTTGGTGTGTACTCGGTGGAAGTAACCTCATTAAAAAGTCTTGTTTCACCCAGTAGAGGTGGCTGGCAAACGATTGGTTCAGCTGTCGTAAGTTATAGCAGACCGACTCAGTCTTTGTGAATTAAGACAGCTGCCACATTCACACCAGCCCGTTCCCTTCGCTTGCACTGCTGGAGGCGGCTGGGAGCACTGGTGCCCGCGTTGCAGCTCAGGGCGTCCCAGGGAAGGTCACGCAGGCAGCTGCACCGGGAGCGTGGGAGCTCAGGGCTGCCAGCGAGGATTGCTTTGGTCAGACTGAAGGAAACTGCTATAGCCACTTATTTTTAAAAATAACATTTACACATATTTTCACGTGAAGTGAGTATGGATCTTTACAACATTTGGGTGTAATGGTCATGTCAGCGTGTAAACTGCTCTGTGGGCTCTCAGGTCTGGGCATTCTGGTGCTTCCTCTAGAACAAGTTAGGCTGGTGATGAAGCTGGTTACTGCTAGAAGCTTAATTATAATCTCAAATTTTATTCAGAGAAGGAAGCTTCCACCCCCCATTCCTTTTCCTTTTGATCTTCTTGCCTTACTAATTTTTTATCCCACCTGGGAGAGCTACGCAGCCACAAAGCAGCAGTAGCATCAAGTACGTATATAAGCTTTGCTGTCTCTCCTGATGCTATTTATTCTCATTCACTTGCTTGTCCACTTTCTAATCACCAGTCTTTATCTCCCAGGTTAATTTTTTTCCTCCTCCTTTTTTCCTTTCTGTTCTTTCCCCATACCATTATTTCTTCCATATATTTTAACACTCCTCATAAGCAACTCATTTTTCCTAAATACTCAAGTTGCTGTCTTGAAGGTCAGCATCTCATCCATGCTCTCTTCCCCCCTTAAAAGAAGCATTTTTCAGTTCCCTCTCCCCCATGCTGGAACCATTTAACAGCCACTCTCATACCTGCCACCAGAGCTTGTCCAGACAAGATCCACATTTATACATTCTGCTGCTCACCCCAGGTACTTTAGTCAAGCTTTTGCGTTTGTCCTGGTGACTACTTTAATTGGCATCTCCTTAGTCCCCTGAAGCCAGTATGCAGTGGGACTACATATTTTTTTAATAAAAATGTAATATGAATATGTAAGGTTGTCCTGTATAAGGTTGTGTCACCTTTGTGGTGACACAACAGATGCGGAAATCATTGTGCCTATTTTTCTCCTCTTTTCCTGTCTGTCTTCTGTTTTTTCAGTCTTCTCTGAACTGACCTTCATAACTGAAACTTCCAGCTGTTCTGTGTAAAGCCTCCTTCGAAGAAGACCCCTGGGCCTTTCTCTGGGTCTGTAGCCAGAGGGCAACCCTTGCAGCTAATTCTGGGCGAACCAAGAACTCCACCTCCATGACAAGTACGACGGAGAAGAAGTACCTAAATAGCAGAGACCACCAAATGATCTACTTTCTCTCTCTGCCAATAAACAATAACAAAATGCACTCTTATCCAAAAGAGATCACCGCTAGCCACTTTTAAAACTGTTTAAGCAAACCTGTGCTTTTCCGTGGAGGGGAAGTGAGGAGCAGGCATTTGACCGCACGGAGCAGCGAGCGGAGGGCACCAGGGCACGTGTAGCAGCGTGCAATGATGTCAGCTGCCTCCCCGGCATCCGCATCATCCCCGACGGGCTGCAGTGGGTCTGTTCTCCCTGCACGGAGAAGACAAATGCCTTCGTGCTCTGCCATGACCTCAGCACTTCAGCAGTCCTCCCTCCTTTAAGGAGCGCAGTGCTCTCCAACCATTGTGACTAATTATTTTTTATACCTGAAGTTGCAAGCTGGTTATATGATAAAGTATAACTTCATAATGCCTGGCCAGTTTAAGCAGCCCAGCAATATTAAGTAATAATTACACAGGAGAAAATTACTTTTTGAAACACAATACCAAAAAAGTTCCATTTTCTTTTTGAAAGTAATATGTAATGGTTCTTTCTCTTTTATGTACATTCCCATTCCCAAAAAAGGTGCTCAGTGGAAAATCAGGCTGCTTTTTTGCCAGGTTTTATAATCTTACCACTGCCAGACGATGAAAGGATCCTGTTCTGTTGTTCACTGCACTAGAGCTTTCTGCATCCAAATATTCCTCCGCAGTGAAGCTGCCAACAATCACACTAACCTTCAACAGCAACGCAGGAACAACTCCGACTCCTAGCTGCTATCAGTGCCGAGGATGTAATCCCAAGGGAAAAAGAAAGCCTCTGTGTAAATACAAATGGATAAAACTGATGAAACACTATTTTTCTTTCCCAGAAGCAGCAGTGCTTGCTGAGTCTGAAAGGGCTAGAAATGAACTTGCAACTGCATTGAACCTCACAAGCTTCCTCTCTAGCTGTTTTTTTTTTTTTTAGCATAGACACAGAGCTGTTAAAAAAATTACAAGGTCCCATTGCTTGACCCTTCTCTGAAATCACTTTTAAAGATGCAGCTTCAGGAAAAGAGGTGCAGAACAAGTGTGATGTGCAGTGGATCATTTGACAGTCTTCAGAGGGGTGAGGCTACATTCTGACGGTTGCTTTTGAGTTTGTCATTTTTAGAGCAACTTTCAGTTTGCCAGATGTTTGTCTCAAAGACTTGAAGTCTGGAAGAGTAATTAAGCAGATGTTCATTATTTCTGGGTACAGACTGGCACATCAACATTTGTATTGTGGAAGGAGAGCTATATTTTTTAAGTTACAAAATATTTAGATGACATCAAATGCTTCAGTTAGTGGCACTGCAATTAAAAGGTCAGACAGGGTAACAAGATACCTACTCACTTTCATAATTCAGAAAAGACAGTAATGGATAGTACCCAGTATTGCTCAGGGAGTCCATGCACTCCACCTGTCAGAAGGGGAAATGAGCTCTAAACAAAGAAATGAGAAACATCATCAAAAGCTGTCAGCTTTACAGGCTCTTGTATTACACAGGGCTGTCCCCAAGTTACTGAGTGGATCTGGCATTAAAATCTACATCAGGGCTGCGACATAGCCACCAGGGAGACAAAAAAAAAGAAAACCAAAGAACAAGCTGTAGCACCGTAGCTGTCACCTGACAGAGCCTTCAAGCACCAATGTCCTTTTGTTTCTTTTGCTCTTTCTAACATCTGCCTGCCTCCCCTTCTAGCACCTTCCAACCTTGCCTCAATGAAGGCTGTAGCATCTAAAAACGCTACCTTTCAAACCTTTTTCTCAAAATCTAGTCCACTATTTTATAGGTGTGTATTTCATGTAAAGTCTTCCTTGGGCCTTTTCAGTCTCTGAATGCCTCCAAAATGAGGGATGGTGCTTAACTGGAGAGCAATTATCTCACTTCACGTCAGATTTTTTCCCTTTTCCTATTATCATCAATAACCCATTGAAATCAAGGAAATTCTTGCAAATCAAGGGTGGGGGTTTTTTGTTTTTTTTTAACGTGGCCTTGACATGCGCTTCCCCTGCACAGCGGGATGCTGACAAGTAGAGCGGGGAGCGCAGAGCTGGGACGGGCTGAACTCCAGCCCACCACTCAAAGTGGTGGTGATGGCCAGAGTACAGTTACTGTCCCATCGGGGCTGAGGAACAGGCAGCAGGAGACTGCTGTGATCCTACCAATAACCGAGGGGTCTGTCTGAGCAAGTAACTGGCCTGTTAACTAGATTTTAAAATGGACAACTAATATTTCCCCAGATGCCAGCTTCTCCGGATCAGGCTGAATTAGAAAGCTGAAATGCTCAGACTGATCCTTTTGTCTCTTCAGCAGCTTACCTTGCACCCAGGCAGGAATCCCACCAGCACCCTGGAGCAGAAGTCCTGTGGCGTGCTCTTGCCACAAAACAAGTTTCTGTTTGCATCCCGAGCCGCCTTACAGCAGGGTCTCAGGCACTGCGCTGCATTTCAGACCATGCGGACCTGCCCACGGCCGTCAGGGCGAGGCGAAGACAGCGGGAACCTTACAGTACACAAACTACCGTAAGGGTGATCTTAAGAGAACACAAGGGCTCTTCATTTCACCTAACAGTTAACGCTTCTGACAGAGGAACTTTTTCTCTGTATAAAGGCAGACAGAGCACAGGAGTTACTGTATCGAACAGAATGGAGATCAAAGTGATCTCTACTGTGCATCGTCAGCTTACCTATCTGAAATTTCCCTCTCTACCTCCCCTTGCTGGTGTAGCTGATGTATTATTTAACACTGCATTTAATCCTTTCATAAGAGATCTACCAAGTTTAGTTCAAGTCTAACATTCTGGTGTTGAAAGGGGGTTGGCTGGTGGGACCTATCCTGAACACGTCTCCTCCCTGCTGCTGTTAGTCCCTGCATATTTCTCTGTCTCTACGTGTCAGCTATCACACACTTTCCTTTAGCCAGAAAAAGCAAGAGATTTTTTTTGTTTTTAAACACCAGAACAACAAAGAAAAAAAGTCCTAGCTACATGATGATTTCTTTTTAAAACCAAGAAAACATGAAGCCATGTCTAAATTAACGTTCCACAAATGCGAGTGAAGCAGATTCACAAAGTTAAAGTCCAGTTCTTTCTGTATTTATTCCATGGGAGTGGGAAGGGAATAGGCGGTGTGATAGGAAGGAGGAAGAAGTCCTCTCTCCTCTTAGTAGTTTTCAAGTTCTGTTACATCCACTTCTCTTCAAACAGTACTTACCACTTTTCATTCACAGAAATAAAATACTACATTAGGGATAAGGTATATTGAATGAGTTCCCCCCACTATATGAAAACTCTAGAAAAGTCTGCAAAAAGGCTATGTAAGCACTAAGCAAATAGTAATATGATAAATACAAACAAATAGGGTAAATATTAACAGGTAGCAGGCCTCGATGCGGAATTGAACTCTATGTATTATACCAGATGGGTTTCTTACAACCCAATGAAATGAGAACAATGCATAGGCATTTTAAGATAAATATAGTATCTTACTAAAAATGTCACATCCTCTCAAACTTCACCACCCAGTCCTAATGGATCAAAACAATATACTCCAGCTATTATCATCCTGGTCAAGAACAGACTGCTTTCCCCAAAAACCAGGCTTAGAATAAAGGCTTGTTAATTAATTAAACTAAGAAATTATTTCAACAGGATTGAACTACTTAGTTGCCCCCTAGACCTAAATGGGCTCTTTTGATACATGTATTTGAGGGCTGACTGACCCCTCATAGGAGTAATTATTAATCAAAAATTAATTAGAGGAGCCGTATGATTCAAGTATAACAATGGGTTTTTCTGAGGTACAGGTGGTTCCCAGGAACACATGGTAGCAGCAAGCAAAGAAACCCATAGATCTGAAATTTAATGAGGCAAATGCCTTGATCGTCACGGTACAAACATTTATGCTTTTCAAGAAGCCACATCTGCCTTCAGATGTATTATCGTCCCCCAGATGGCACATCTATTTTCAGTATTATATGAGTGAAAACGTCAGTGTCCCAATTTAGAAATTCAAAAAATCCTTGTAATCTAATGCTCAAACAGTACCTACTGCTATGTTGACCAAAAGCATCTCCAAGCATTGCTAAGGCAGAGATTTGTCTCCAAGAGGAAAGGCTGGATAAAGCAGCTCAGGTGTAAACTAGCACATAGTACCCACACTTGCAGAAAATGTTTTATTCGGTATGCTACTTTTTTTTTTTAATTTAAGCTAATTTGAAGAAAACAGCACCAGTTAACCATGGGAGGCAGTAGAGCAGTAGGGCTGGAGCCCAACTCCCAGTACATAATTTGAAAATTTTATTAAGTTTTTCCATGGTTCCCTCACCTCCCGCTTTCACAAGTACAGTAGCTGAAAGTCCAGAAGTGTAGCACAGCACTTTGGTACTGTCTGGTTTAGGTGAAAATGCATTTTCTTCAGCCATTTTCCCATTGTGAAACTTTCTATTTTGAGCCATAAACTGTATCCTAAGGGTTTTTTAGTTGAATAGGAAAACAAATGCAATTTTTATTATTTTATAGAGTTAGGAAACATCACGGAGATAAAACAAATCTATAGGAGTTATCTATCCTATTACTCTCTAAAACAGCTGTCTACACTGGAACACTAGAACCAGAGACTTCCAGAAATGACAGAATAATTAATTCCCAGCTCTTTTCTATCCATCAACAGCAGGCTTTTTTCTTTCAACTCTGAGAAGATTATAAATGCCGAGTTACTTTGGCTATCTGAGAAATGATTTGGGTTTCAAATGAGAACTGGCACAGTTGAAAGCTTAAAGCTCTGTTTGCTTGGCAATGCCCCACTCTATTTTCAGAATTATGTTGTCAGAACTGTTTACAATCCAGAGCAAATTACTGTCTCAGAGAGGTGCAAATCCACCGAGCTCTCCAGAAAGTCAATTTCGCACGCATTGAAATAAACACCATTACTTTAGATTTATTCCATGCTAAACAAGACAATTCATTTGGCCCAAGGAAAAAAAAAAAGTAAGCAGCAAGATATGCCATCACCAGCAGCACTGACAGGAATACGCAGGGAGAATAATGCTTCAAAGCTGCTCAGCTGCGTGAGGCTCTGCTATTCCATGCGAATAACTACAGTTTTCCCTTTACTCTAGGTGCTGTCATTTATCATCTTTATCTGCTATATTGCATCTCTAGCTGCCTCTTTCATGATGGCACCACTCCTAGAGTTTCTGCTGGCACTGTTTCTTTTTTTTGCCTACGCCTCCAAACTTAATGAGAAGTTTAAAGGACTCTACTGGCCTTTGACGGTAAGTGAAATGTGCAATAGAAAAACACAGATTTAACTCTACAGTATAACATGAGTAAAAGGGACTATATGGGAGTTTAGGCTGACTGTTAACAACTTCACCCCCTTATTAGAAACTTGTCTGTATTGCCTCTCATTCAAAAGATCCTAAAGCACTTCTTAAACTGCTATACTAAGTACTACAGCTTTCTTGGTGCTGACACAAAGCATGATTTTATTAAAGCACAGAATTTATGCCCAATTCTGGGCAAATGGCTTAGGGCTGGATCTTCAGAAGCAGGCAACATCAGCCTAAGTCTGACCACTGCTGGGGGCTCCTTAATATTGCCACCCTTACAAATGGGGAAACTGAAGCATGCTATATAGTAATGCATATCCTTTACTAAAATGTTTTAAAATTCTCAGGTAAGTGCTGTTGAGATGCAGAGTCATACTCACGTGCAAACAAACTGACAGCTACTGCAACTCTTTGCCAGTAGATGCTCATTCTCACAAGGGGAACCACTGGCTATTCATTGAGTTTTCAGGTTTGCAGTTGCAGGTGATTACTGCACACTGGCCACTGGATGTCTCTGTTGCTTCAAACATACATTGTAAAGGGAGCATTTGTCTAGCAGTACAAATACTTCCAAAAAACCCGCTAATCTAATCGGTCTGGGTTCTCTTTTGGTAAAGTCTAGCAATAGTGAGATTTGAATTAGAGCTCTCAATGTATAAAAATAGCATTAGCAAGGCCACTGGTGGATAAAACAATAGTGGTGACTTTGACTGCGACAGTGTGCATGGGTTTCAGCCGGTAATCTCAGTTCCATTGTTTTCCCATTTTCTACATCCATCTGATCCCAGAACTACGACAAAAAAAAGCACTTGTATGTTTGTTATGTCCATTACCATAATATACTCCAGCCGCAAAACGTAGATAACTGACCTTGTCCTGACTTCAGGAGAGTCAAGTTTCTTGTAGGATTTGTGCTTTGAGACAGTATCTTACTCATCCATCTGTTCTGAAAAAGCAGAAGATCTAATTGTGAACAGAGGCCAAGATACCATTATTCCAGCTCACACGATTTACACATACCCACATCGCTGCTTGTATTACAGGGCACAGCCCCTGCCCTGCAGAGCTACAGTCTCGGGCACAAAAGCACATATTTCAATGAGAGCAACAGGTACATTCACTGCAGGCTAGCCATTGGAGTTACAAGTGTATGTACTAAGTATAAATAATAGTTTTAAACACTAAACAAAGTGTGTAGTTCCTAAATGAGGAGTTTCTGCAGACAGGCCTACTTCTATATGGAAACAAGCACATGCCTGTTCCCCATGGGAACTGGTCTGCTCCTCCAGAGCCTTTGGTACCACAGGAGTTCTGCTTAAAGATGAGACTTTCTAAGGCATTTCAAACGATTCTTCCATAAGAGCCCTTGCTGCGTTCCAAGTTCAGCACCACAGTAAGATAGCCCTTCTCGGCCTGAAGAAAGGTCTGCCTGACATAAGCGCGTTAGAAGTAGGATTTATACAGCATCTCTAAGAGCAGAAGCTTATGCCAAGATTCCGGTCATCTCTCATTTAAAAGTATTTCCCAGATGAGTAATTCATCCGCTACAAAATACCAGGCTGTAGTCACACTCCAGCATCAGGCAAGTCCACTGACACAACAACAAAGGCTTTTAGTGGTCACTTCTGAAATCATTTTTAGAGGAGTTTGTATGTTGGAATTACATGACTAACCTGAGAATGCAACATTGCTTATTTTACAGGATTTCTTGCGGTGCGTCACTGCTGCCATTATTTACTTTGCCATTTCAATTGCTGCTGTCTCAAAATACAACGACGGAGCATCTAAAGCAGCAGGAGTAAGTAGACGTGAGCTTTCCACTTAAGTATTTTGGTGAACTGCGTATTGACGTACTTTAGAAACCATTCAATTTTGTCCCCATTGTGAGTAACAGAAGTTTCTTCAATTAACTGGCTGAAAATTAGATTTGCCTAAAGCAAGGAAGAAACGGTCAGTGATTTAGAAAACCAGGTTTTGAATCAATGAATAGTTTTTTCATCCTAACAGTGCTCTGCTCAGTGTTAACTGTACTACTTACAGAAGGCACCTATTCTGCTTTTTCATTTCACCAGCTGTACAGGGAAGGTAAACTTCTCTGTTCCTGCAAAGAACATCAAGATCCTTGAATGGAGGGAATAATAATAAAAAAAAGAAATTAAACCTGTAACTACTAAGGACAGTCTAAATTAAGTAATTTCAACCTCCTCCCTCTACTGCTTAATTTTACTTGGATGAGTTGAAACAAAAGCAGTGTCATTTTACCCTCCGGTATATAGAGTGCCCAGGGGAGAGCCTTCGTCGTCAGCATTTTGTGTTCAGAAATAAGATACAGCCTCTCCATCTGCAACTTGACTCTAAGCATCAATAATGCATGCAACATAAATAAAAATTGCATAATAATTTTAAAAGATAGGGAAGAACAATACCCAGTAGTGTTAGCCAGCAACCCTTACCAAACCATCCCAAGTCATACGCAATTTCAAAACAAAGACCTTGTTTTAATCTTTGTCACTCGGTTTAGACATGGAGCAATGCAAACAGCATTTACCCTAGCTTCTTGGACTGAAAAGCAGCCTATTCTTGCCACACTGCTGCTTCTTTGACATTAAATAGGTAACTCCAGAATCATTTTATCTCAATCTGGTTCACTCTGCAATAGACATGCAAGGCAAACCAGTAAAAAAATTATTTCCAGAGAAATTGAGGTGATTTCTTGGTGGCAAAGAGATGCCCTGGGATGGTGGAGGTGCAGGTTACATTCTGCTGTAGCTCCTGGCACAGGGTAATGCTGATGCTCAGAATGTGCCCAGAGCCAGGGCAGGATGTAGCCTGGGGAAGGGCTAAGGACACATCTGATAGAACAACCGCAGGCATCACTACTCCCAAATTAGCTGTAATTTAGTTGATGCCAATGGGTCATGAGACATTTCCCTTCCCTGTCTCTTTTGAAAGGCACAGGCCAAAAAAAAAAATCAAGCCTGAATTTTCTTTAAGAATTGTTCTTCTGTCAGTTAGGCTTATTCTGGTTTGTCATTGATGGACATGACCTGTTGTTAGAGAGAGTATTATTTGCCATTTTAGGTGTTTGGATTTATAGCCACGATAGTGTACGCCATTGATTTCTACATAACCTTCAATGACCTGGTTACTTTTCTCAAGCAAGGCAGTTCTGATTCCCCCGAGGGACGCAAGTCAGAAGGTAGGTAAAATTCCCTCTTTTGGTTATACAAGCATGTAACATGAGATTTTCTTCTACATTTCACCCTTCACAGGGGAGCAAGAGCACTCACTCAGTAAGAACAGTTACTATTCTTGGCTACCTTAGTTTTGTATGCCACAAATACGCTGAATTATGAAGCTGCTTAGTCTTAAAATACAACAACTGGAATTTCAGTGATTTATAAAGATAACTAGCAAGCCAGGAATGTTAAGTTCATCAGAGTTTTGCACCATCTAACTTTGAAAGGCCCCAAATCCAATTATAGAAATTATTGTGCAGCACAGACTTTTTTCCTCCTATCAAAATGTCTTCCTTTAAAAACAAACATCTACCTTTTTTTTTTTTGGATAACTTAGTAATTAACATCCAGTAGTCCATAGTCTTTTACGTCCAATAGTGCTTTTCTCTTTATCGTCTCTTTATCATGGTTACCTCTTATTCAGGGTCAAGCTTTGACCATATGTGGGCAAACGGCCTTGAAATCTAAGGGCCACACAGCATAAAATTAACAAGATTATTATCAAATTTCTTTCTAATTTAGGAGGTACAGTCTACCTCAAATCAGACAGATCCACTTAGAAAAGGATAAAAAGAAGGACCTGCTCTTGGGAGTTCAAACCCATTTCAAGTCAAGTCAGGACACAGGTGGCTATTTTGCAGTACCCAGGAGTCCAAATTAGGCATCATGGCCCCTGTGATACTAGTCATTGCACCCACACAGATGAAAAAGACCACTCCACACTTAAAAACAAACAATCCCCAAACCCCCCAAAATACCCCACACAAAACCAAAACCCTCAACAACGAGCACCCAAGACGTGTACAGAATCCTGGAAGGTATATAGTAATGCTAATAGTCTTTTCTAGGTATTTTAGTACACTGTTAAATGTTTTGCAAGCTTTACGACAAAAAGAGACAAAGAAAAGAAGAATTAAAGGAACAGATCATAGGAAACAGACTGTTAAGACTAGAAACTGTTTATCCCCACAAATTGAACTGACCTCAGGAGCAGATCAGGTGACAAGGGTACAAAATTAGGCTAAAGATTAGATGGAGAGAGAAATATATAAACTTACAAATACACAGTCATGCAGCTTTGTGTTGACAATTTGACCGTGCCAGAAGGGCTTCGCACTGTTTTTCCAGCACCAAAATCATGTTCACCCTGGGCTCTCGAGTGCCGAGGCCGGAAACCCTTCGCTTCCTTGCAAGCAGAGCCTCGAGCTTGGGCAAGATGTACCTCTATAGGCCTGTTGGGATTTCTTCACATCTTAAAGCTTCTGGCTTTCAGCTACGTTCAACTGGCAGTGCATAACCGTGACCCGCAGCAAACAGCAATATTCTAGTACAGGAAGCATGTCTTCAGCAGACTTCCTCTTGGTGGTCATGCTAACAATAATATCTCTGCAACTTCTTTCATCTGAACTGTTATCTGCGTTGTAGTGGTCTAAGTGCCTCTCAGCAGCATTCCTCAAGTCCTTTGAAACACCATTTAAAACTCCATCATATTAGTAAGAACTGTCATTTTACAAGCCTCTTCCTAAACATGCCACCTCCTTTGAAGTAAACACCTGCTGAAGAGCAGCATATCTCTCCCAGCAAGAGCTAAAGCCGATTTCCAGTTTTCATTTTCGCGCTTGTTCCTTGTTTTAAATTTCAGATGAGGACTCCGATTCTGACTCAGACTGAAGAAGCGAACACCAACCAAGTGTGAAGGGAAGATGATCAAGCACTTTCCTCTCTGCTGAATGCACTGCCAATTGAAATATCTCCCTTGTTTCAGCCTCAGTGTCCTCTTTCCACCTCACTGTTTCTGGAATCACCAAAGCACCGACAGGGCAGTGACGTGGAAAAGGAGACTATTCCCAACGCCATTAGACAGTCCTTCAGAACTACGAATTTTACAGTAATTCAACCTACCACAGAGGTCAGTATCCAAACAACACATCTCAATTCTCTGTTGCCTCTCCTTACTCAGCACTGCAAAGTACTGAGTAAACGGAAACATAGTATTTTAAATGTGTAAGTGGAGCTTATAATATGCTTTCTTAATTCCAAATCTTTAACACTTATAGCTTTTATACTTCTTGCTGTGCCAAAGAAGAGAGGCTTGGAATGCCTCTAGTTTATTTGTATTTTTCTTGATTAACTAACAGTTTTTCTTTATCTGAAGTCTGAATATTCCACTATCTCAAGCACTGAAGGCATAGATTATAGTTAACATGTTGGTTTCAATACATTTATATCTACTGCCTATCTGCAACAACAAAAAGCGACAACTGGAAATCTGCAGCAAGAACAAACCTCAAAGTATAACCATGCCACAGGGTAGCTGGCTCGTCAAACATTCGATATCACTTTTTTAAGCTGCTTGGATGGGGTCACATCCCATCTTCTACAATTTCACCACAGATACGAGGTAGAACAGATGAGGCATCGTCTTACCAGCCCCCTTCCTACCATTTGCGTGGAAGCCCTTGTATGTGTTTGCACATACAGCTAAGGCAGTCTTGCCAAATACCACGCAACAGTTATCTGCCTATCAAAGCCTGCAAATACTTGTGTGCAAGATACCACTGTCTGATCTCATGCTCTGTGTTGCGAACACTGGTCCTCCCATGAGAAGTAGCCCTGGACTTAGTCCACTGGGTTCGCAAAACAGACAACTTGTTTCGTAAAACTCAGGATACCTGGGCCCCAGGAGGGCAATGCATCCTTCCCACTG